GAGTCTTTTTCTGGCAAAGACCATCTGAAACCAGCTGATGACCATTAGGACATACTGATAAGTGGCCTCTCAACATGTTTGCTATTTCTTGGAGGGCTAAATAGGAAGGCGATATGATTTTTTAGAGAAGCAAAAACAATGTTGTAACAAATTAGCAACAACGGTGGGAGTTGCTCAAAGACAAGGACAGAACAAAAATCTTTTGAAACGTAAGATTTAACTGATTTTCATAATAAAAAGAAGTAATGTAAAATGACCTTTCAATCTCACTATAGATACTTTTGAAAAATCAAAAGATGTTTGGTAGCTGCTGTGAGATTTAACTTCGTTCCATGAAATTTCGCGTCTAAGTAATTACCATAAATCAAACACAAAAATACCTTGATTGTTCCTAACGATGACCGTATCGAGAATTGTCTTCTCGAAAAACAATTTCAAAGAAATTATCGAACTGCATTTGAGAAGGATCCGCGAAGTAATTATCATTAGAGTATAATGTACCTGCACACTTAGAGGGACAGCAGATAGTTCCACTGTAGACATAGCACTCAGGTCTGGCCATGGGAGGACAGACTTCACGACCATCAAGGTCTGTTCCATTGAAAAACAGTTTGCAACCTTTGTAATTCCAACTCTGGTGTTTCATTAAGATTCCACCATCTCTAGTCATCTCCGCACCTGAAATAGATCAGAATTTTTCTCCTGCGCATTGATAAAAATTGTGACAGAAATAGAAGAAAACTGTTGCAAAAGCTATGCAACAGTTCTAAAGCTAATATGAAAATAATCGTACTGAAATAAAAGCACAATCGAGTTTGCAAACAACTTGTGCACTCAAAGGACCTCAAGACTTTCACCTTCACAAATATCTGTCCTCTCTCGAATGAACTGGAGAATATTACAAGCGGGTTGATGGCAAGTCTCCTCTAGCCAAGTGAAACTGTTCCTGTGCCCTGGAAAGACGACTCTCACTCTTCTTTGACATGAGATTAGATTCTCCTTGCAATGACAATGAAGACATGGAGACGTCCACCAAGCTTGGTCTGACTTATATCCTAATCCTTCTTCGTCGCGGCAGTTGGCTAAAGTTAAAGACAACCAATGATAACTATAGCTATCTCATCTGATCTATAAATGGTTTATAACAGTAAGAGGTTGTGCTTGGTTAGGTTTATTGTTTTGTTCCAATTCACTCCCAAGCGTTCGCGATCGTACCTTTTATCTTAGCAAAGGCTCCTTGGAACTACCTCAAGGTATGTCTTAATAAGGTGATGAAATGTTGAGTGCTTAAAATTCTAATACTTAGAGAAGAAATTTCTGCCACTGTCCCACCTTTTAGATAAATGAACAGAAGGCAAAACAATGACTCTGGGACAGAAGCAAACCTAGGAGGGTGAATGGGATTACGCGTTTAATCCAGGTGTGCTGCGTAAATTAATTGTCTAACACTGAGATTAGGACCGAGTGAGTGAGTGGGTGAGTTGTTGGTCCACACGTAAACCTCAAGGTATGACTACATCATACCACGAGGTGACAAAAAACGAAGAATAAAAGATAAGGATGACAGTGGAAGTCATTTACACGATCAACGGTGTTAACAGTTAAAGACTGTCAAACTACACTTACTTCCACATACGTCTTTTCTCAACTTTACAAACCGGGTGACGTTACAAGAAGACTGGCTGCAAGTTTCTTTTGACAAAAGGATGCGATTTCGATACCCTGCGACGAACACTTTTAAGTCCCTCTGACAGTGGATCTGAGATTCCGTGCAATTACATTTAAGGCAAGGAGATATTTTCCAGGTATCGTGGTTTTTGTATTTCTTCCCTTCTTCGTCAAAGCAAAAACCTGAAAGATAATTTGTGTCACGGTCAGATGCATAATAAACTAAATATCTCTTAGTTAAGCTTAAAAAGCATCCTTCTTCGATAATTGGCGATCAGGTGGAGATTGTACGGTTGCTTCAAATAAAACTAAGATTCTTGCACAATGCAAACGCTTTGTTGAGACAAGACTGAAAGAGATAATAGCATAAAAAGAAATTTTACGGTATCCATCTTTATCCCGATCACATTTTCGGAAAAGCTACTGGAATAAACTACATTTTACCTTTAAACGGGGGAAGTAGCACAGGATGAAGAGTGATTTTTGCCAGAATGGGGTCGGCGTGATTTTCTCTGTGAATTCGACCACCTATACAAACGTTTGTAGTCACTGTACTGAAAAGGTGCACGATTACAGCTGCTTGAAGGTATCTCGATTTCACCTCAACCATGACGGAGCTGGTGAAGATAAATTGGATCAACAAAGTGAACATAAAAGGTGGATTGTGTTTGAGATATACTACTACACCATCCTACCAAAACATTAACAGTCGTGCCGTTTTTTGGTTTTCCCGTCAATGCGGCATACGGGCTGCCTTCCTTTGGGCTCCTCAACCAACAAGTCATTCCATTATTTTTATGGCTGTTAACTAAATTTCTTAATAAAATAGCGCAGAGTTACTGAAAATCATCCCTTAATGAGCATTCTACGAATGTTATTCATACCAAACATCTGAAAGTATCAAAACTCTTTTATGTTCCACCTTTCTACATTCCAGCTTAGTTTCTTGGAACACATTCGTCTCAGTGAATGTCAGTACCACACAAACCAATTTTATACCACATTAACCTCGTAAAAGAAACGGAAAGAATGACCTAGTCCTGACCAGGAAACGAAACTTGCTAAATCACGACCAACTTTTATCACTCGAGTCCTACAGCCAATAATTTGACGTGTACTTATTAATTTCAACGAAAAAGCACATTTTTAGTTGAATTTTTTAGACAGTGTCTGATAACGAAAACTGTCCTTTGTACGACGACTCCTACCTTAACGACCGAACTTTAAGTAAAAATAGAATGATCCGGTAGGCAAAAAAGAAAAAAACATGCTTCGATTACCAAAGAGAAATTTCCAAGTAAACAGAAAATTGTGCCATGGGGGTAACTAAATGGGAGGTAGCTGAGGCGAGCTCAATAAAACAAAGTCTTCAACGGGCCCTCTTAATTTCAACAGACCTTCTATAACTCTTCCTTATCGAGAAACTATGATGCGCAGGAAATATTTTTTTGCTCTCCCAAACGTTTGTATCTCTAGGATTGAAACCTAGCAGGCGTAATGCGTCTTCTATGGCTGCTTGTACGGGTAAGGGGGCTAGGTGGGACAGGTCAGGTGAAGAATTATCTGACTTAAGAGACACGATCTCGCCGTGAGTTAGCGTATTGCACATTCGTTCTACTGTTATACCTCCTACAAGTGTCATTGAAGTAAGGCAGCTTCTCCAAGAAAAATCTGCTGATGCAGTTAATAGACGTACAACGAATTGTACCCGAGACTCTTTAATTTTCAAATAACCCGAATAGAAAAAATAAAAAACTATATTTTTTCTAAAAGCAACAAAATGCAGAGCTGAAAATTACATTAGGCTAACGTCCTGGACAAATAACACTTACCTGAGTGAAAAGAGATCTAGTCAACGTTATGGCCAAATCGGGAGAAGTTGAGAAAAGTATGGCCAGTCCTTTATATCGGGTTCCCTCTGGCTCCACCAATACGATTCACCCCTTTTATAGATAGATTTTGATAATTGCATTCACCTAGAGTTTGCGTGAACCAAGTAAGTTACGAAGTCGAGTTAAAAAACATCCTGTTTCTTCCGGCGTCTTTAAAGCAGCGACATGTGCTAAGATGAAGACGGTTTGTGAATTCATCGATGGGCTTTATGTATCCCACATTTGTTAAATGAAAGCTACCGAGCACCACAAACCGTTGGTCTACTTCTTCATGCGGCCTAAGGGAAACGGTACGACTTTTAAAAAGAGATGAAAATCTAGGTGATGTCTGAATTTTTGACTACACAGCTTTGGTCATCAGGCTGTGCAGCAAAGACAGTCTCCATAGCAAAGTTTAAATAGGGATATAAAAGATAGAAATTTTCCCAGTCTTTCATTTCAAAGAAAGGGCAGCTGTATAGCTTAGAAAAAATATTAGATTACGATTTAATCTTGTCACTTATCATGTGAAGTATTCAATTCGCTCGAAACGCACTGATAAGGTAATTCGTACATCCAATTAACATCGACGGACCAAAGATAGAATAGCTAAAATATCTCTGGAGTCATGAATGACGTTAGCAAATAAAGCTTCCGATTCTCTCTCTTTCTTACGATTTCCTTTTTTTTTTTTAAGAAGTATTTCAAGACGGTGCTACATTATCTTCGCAAAATAGCCGGGATAAGGAAACTTAAAAGGCAATTACCAAAATGCTACTGATTCAAGAGCAAAAGAAGGTCTCTACGGCATTGAAACTAACCTCCGATGGCTGCTTTACCCTCGTAATATTTGCGGTGCAACGTTATCAAACCGGTCTGAATAGCAATTCTCCTTTGAGCGTTTCTTAAACAAGAGACCACAAAGACTAGAGGAGATCGGCAAGCTAAGAAAACACTAAGTGACAGATATGCTTATATCTCGCTATTTTGTTTGGTTGCAATAGCACCTGCTTTACAATTCCAATTTTGCCCAACCAATTAAAACATTCGATCTACTATGATCCATTTCCTGAGATGGTGTTGAAGATGTAGTGCACTATTATACGAGTTTAAGCAAGGCTTCGGTTGTTAAGCAAACCTCTGCCTGACAGGGGCAGCAAAAATCAAAGAAATGATAAATAGGCAAACAGAACTTGATAAGAGAAATGATACTTGGGTACAAATAATATTTTAACTTCCTCTTCCTCGAAAGTCAGGGAATATTCAAAAGAAAGATCGAAGATCAACGGCTTCCAAGTCAGCTCTTACGGAATTAATGTGATTGTAAGGAGATAATCCGCAAGGCAGGACATACGATTAGAATGAATTAAGACTGAATGCATGCAATTACACAAAATTTGATTATTGGTTAACAATTTGTGGCCGGTTCCTACGTTGAGTTGTTGTGTAATGCTATTTTAAGGGACTGGCATACAAAGGGAAAGAAAGTAAGTGGATATGAAAGTCATCAAAGGCAATGCAGTATCACTTAAAAACTTCTTCGAAAGGGAATAAAGTTTCTAAACATTCTGCACAGATTTAGACGAGTTTCGTTCAAGCAGAAAATTAGAAAATTATGTTTATGTATCTTGTTTCTCTCATTTACATACGCATTAAAGCCTCAGGGCTGGGGAATGGTTTATCTCTTCTCAATGCATTTGCGAGTTATCTTTGTTACCCGGGTWAAAAAAAAAAAAAAGATCACTTCGGCTTCGTAAACTTCTGGTTCGCCAACCTTTGCACAGTTCCCGAGAGACGGAGTAAAGAGAAAAGAATAATTGAAGTTAAAATGCATTTTACTCTTGTAATTTCAATGAATGAAACACATTAATAGATTAATTATTTTTCGTCACCCTAATTGGTTTTGAAAGAAGTGCAAAAGCCATCAGTGAACTGGTTAGAATTCCTTGAAACTTCGCTCAGCCTGATTAGATTGAAGAAGCACTGGTGGTACAATAACAAAAGACTGTTGGTAAAATATCACTTGACATTATAGGTTTTTGTATATGAGACTGGAGTGAGAGTATTGTCGAAGTGTTGTTGACACTCGTTTGGTGTCGATGAGAAATGGCGAACTTTGTGCATAAATGAAAGTAGAGAAATGAATCAATAAATGGTCTAAATGAAACCGACAATGAAGGAACTTAAGAATGAACAAGCGGACAACAAAGCGAAAAACAAAATAAAAAACAAAATAAAAAACACAACAAAACTTTCGATAGTTGAAGGGGAGTTAAAGCTCCATTGGCGATAAATGAGATCCGATTGATAAATTTCTTTAAATACTGCGGTAAACCTTTTTAAGTGGAGACACGGGAGCTTGAATACAGCCGTTTTCTGACAGCCTAACGCGGACTCTTCAAGATGTTATCATGAGTTATCAATATAATTTAGGAAAACTCCACAGTTTTGATATCATTTTCGGTTCACGAAACTAAATTTCATCGAACAAAACAGAGGTATAATTGCCGATAAAAGAGGCAGGTGTGTTAGCTCCAGCCAGAATGGAAACAAAATCTCCATAAATAGAAAAACAAGAAGAAATTGGCTGAAAATAACTGAGTGGCTGATGACTGTAGCAGACATAAAACTACAGCTTTTAAGCTACGACTGAATTTGCAAAATGTCCTGATTTACTGAACGCAATTAAAAACCACAAGAAAACGAGCGCTGACTGATTTCTGGGTGAACGAGAACATGCGGGTCACCATCAGATATGGTTTATTTTTGATCAAGGGTAAATCAAGCATATAATGAATGAAAGGTTTTATTGACTTTTTATCCACGTATCCATGCATCCATCTAACATTCCATCCAAAACTATATTCTTCATCAACCCCTCTACCTATCTATTATTCATCTAATTATGCATTCATCCGTTTGTCCATCAGTCCTCATATCTTTCTGTTGTTGGATCGGAGCCCAGTTGTTCGAAGGTCGATTGGCACTAACCCGGGGTTAATTTTCAATCCGAGTTTCTTTTTCTTTTGTTCAAAAGCATATTCTTGGATGATTTTCTCGACTCTTTTAAGAGCACCCAATCATCAAAATTTAGACAAAATGAAATAACCTAATTTGCATATTAAGCTTTCAGATATAAAAAATAATTTCACACTAACCATTGGTTATCTTAACTCTGCTTTTAACAACCCGGCACGGATAGCAAAGCCATGTATTCCAGAATTTGTGACGGTCTTGGAAATAAATTTGTCAATTTGATGATTTCCGCGTGGACTTCTCATGCACTAAACGTCATAACCTGGTTTCCTCTGGTGTTTCATTGCAAATAAAAACGGCGAAACAGGCTCATTCATCTCCACAGATCGACGGCCGGCAATTTCTCTAAATATTTTGACGGAAAACGTCTCTTTCCAGTTACTTGAGCAGTGAGATGAAAAGCTCGCACACAATGCGGTTGACCTAAGCTCTGATGGGTTTTCGAGCCTCTCTCGTATTTCCACATGAGAACATCGTTTTCCGTTTCTGGGTCTCGCTCCAAAGTATCATCTCCCTGTTTCAGTCGGCAGCTTTCATTGCGAACTCGGAAGCCAAAATGTAAAGCAAGTATCCACCAAATGGTCCTTTGCAGAACTATCGGATTTGAGGTACTAAATTCTCTGCAAGACAGAAGTTTGTCCTCTTCTGTTTCTGTTAACTCAAGGTCTGTTTCTTTAACACTCAGAACGTCCTTTAAAGCTTTAGACTCTCACCCTCGACGATGTTAATGTTTAAGCCAGCCTCGTTCAGGGAACCCTGCATACTCCGTTAGAGTGTCAGGCTCGTACTCTCCACCGCCCAGTTTCATTACGTTTACAAAATCAAACTCAGTTCTCCGGCCTCGCTTTCCGTGAGACAAGACCGCTTCCATGCTGTCATATCACTTAATGTTTTAATTTTTTGTCATTTCAGGTGTTTGTTCCACAATAAACTCACAAAGCTCGTTAACGCTCTCTTTATTTTACATTTCCTCTGCTGCTTTTTTCGACGCCATCGCAACAATACAATTAATAACCTTACGCTCAAGCACTCCCCAATTTTTTTCAATTGCACGGGCTCAAAGCGTGTAATCCCGAGTGACAAGATGGGCCCGAGTAGCCAGTCATAACAAAGGATACGCTGCATATAGCCCACCATTGCAGGCGCGTAGCGTGTCATTTTTTCAAGTACGCACAAATACATATGATCTAGAAACCTAGTAAGTAAACTGAGCGAAAAATACTACGTTCTTTATTTCTTGTTTGAAATAGTTGTGTGAATACAAGCAAAGAACAAAGCGTCTTGCCTTTATTTTGAGCAAACTTGGCGCAAACACAACATTGTTTTCAAATTTCTCTGGTCGCTTCAAGTATGCACGTGCGTATATGCGTATAGGACAATACGCGCCTGTACTGCGGCTCACTGTTAACCGTTTAAGAGTTGAGTGAAAGCCACAGGCATTCTTTGTAGTCAAACTGAAGGTTATAAAGAGAAATGAATACGAGTAGAGAATAGCGCACTGCTATTGTTCAGCATCAAAACACATTTTTACCGACAATCATCTTTAACACTGTCACTTTTTTTTTCAAATATTCCAACCTTTAGAGAAGCATGAACGAGTAACACAGCTTTTTAAACTGCATAACGGATATATACACCATCTACAGGGTGTAAGCTATAGTGCGATTCACACTCTTTCTCTCTCAAGGATGATGAAAAAGTAATTTTTCCTTCTTGAATTGTCTCTTCTTTGTCCAATTCATCCAGGACGAGCTATGTTAAAAATATGAAAACAAAATGGTCATTATCGTGTAGCATCCCTGTACCTTGGGTTACTAATCTTCCATTTTTACCACAGAAAATCTCATAGCCCTCCTATAATAATATTATTACAGCTTCCAGAGTATGCTTTCCAGGATGAAGACAAAAGTTAATTCAACGTTACAGGTATATGCCTCAGACTGCTGACAAGGGTGTGTACAATCAGCTGGGACAGATTGTCTGATATTCACAAAAAAGATGTACTTATTTTGAAAGATAAGGCTATTGCAGTGTTTGTTTTACAATAGGGAGTCAAATGCATTGAACGATTATAATGTATTGAATGCTATACTGTCAAGAGAAAGGGCCAAGTTATTAGGCCATCCATTTATCATTGTTTCATTTTGGGTAGGGTTCATAAAAATCAAATTTGTGTTACCACAATTCTTTTCGTCGCTTTACGCGTCAGAGTTCCTTCCTTTTCTCATTCTAACATTGAAAGACCATAACATTGAAAGACATAGCTGTTGACGTTTCCGAACTCAATGACTGTTTCTTAGATAGAAATTAATTTAAGAAATCGACGTGCAAATATTAACAAAATCTTCTTAGGTCACCTGAGCTGAGTTGAGCACAATGAAGAGGTAATGCAAAGCATCATTGAACTGTCTCATTCCAAATACTTGACACCAAGTAAAGGAAGCAAAACAAGAATACTCCTTACACCTTTCCTGTGGTAGGTAGATAAACACGCAAAGAAAAGCTTCAATTAGTAAATTAGGATTGAGATTAAGGTGAAAAGAATTAAGAGATAAATGCACCATAATTTACGCTCATATTATGAGCTCTCGAAAACTTATCGACCAGATTGACGAAAACGTACACGTAGTTTAAACATATTTCTATTAATATTATCAACAAAGCTATGTGGAGAGGCAATGTGTCTCACTTTGAGGCCTCCAAATTGTTTCTACTGTATTTGGACGCCAGCTTCCCAAAGACAACTCGGAGAACGATGGCAAAATGACAACGTTTGCCTAAAAAAAAAGAAAAGCAAAGAAAGAAAAGCAAAACGAAATAACACAATAAATAAATGAAACCTTAAGACATTAAATTCATTCGAGTCTTTTGAAATACAAAGGGGAAAGTGAGAATTCTGAGATTATCTATGATGCTCTAACGATACTGTGAGTTTAATTCAGCGAATGTTAGGATTGAGATTAAGGTGAAAAGAATTAAGAGATAAATGCACCATAATTTACGCTCATATTATGAGCTCTCATATTATGTGATCCGAGAACTGTAAGAACGAGAGGATGGGCTAGAAAGCTCAGCTGGGAGGGTAACGATTTTGGGATATAAAAGAGGTGCTTGATCGAAGGGGATGCAAGCCGGAGTCGAGGGGAGCTACAGGAGGATTAATTGTTATTCCTGAGAATAAAGACACAAAAACAGTGAAAATGCCAGAAGAATGGCCAAAACTGGTCCTTTGAAGATCAACTCAGTGGTTTCCGTTGAGCCAGCATGTAAAGGGTTGTTTTATGAAGAGCATTAGAATAAAGATAAACGCATTTTTTTATGTGAAAATGTAGTGTGATCGTCTGGGTGAGTGCGGTAGTCCTGAGAAGGACTGTTGTCAGTGGTGGTGACTGACGTTTTGCAAACCTGTGCGGAAGTCATCATGAGAGTCAAGTGAATAGTTGTCGTAAAATGTTCTTGGTCCATATAGTGTAAAATGATTGGCCAGTTTTGCCGTGATGTTATTGGCTGTAAGACTCAAGTGGCGTAAGTCGATTGTGATTGGTCTGTCTCGATCCGCCGGTAAATTTAGGTCGTTCTGTTCGGCTCGTTTGTGATGTTAATGTCGTGAATGAGTCTTTTCCATGGAGCCGGTAGTAGTTGACACCTGTTTAAAGGAGTCTATTCTAAGTTAGTAAATCACCTTTCCAGAGTCAATCGTTGAAAGTAGTTAGTGCTGTAGGTTAAGCATTGCGCAGAGTCTCAATCAATATTGTGGTTCGTAAGTCGATGACATTCAGCAATGGGATTGTTGACATCACCTTTCCTCGTCGCCCTTCTGTGTTCAGTCGGTCTTGTCGCGAGGTTTCTGCCAGTCTCTCCAATGTAGGAGGCTTGGCAATCGGAGCAATTGATCTTGTAAATCGCTCCCTGTCTGTTCCTCGGTTCGTCCTTGTCTTTAACGTTGGTTAGTAATTGACGTAGTGTGGTGATGGGTTTGTGGGCGACGCGGATATTGAAGGGTTGTAAGAGGCGCAAGATGTTCGCAGACGTGCCTTTTATGTACCGTATGGTTGCTGTAGTCCTAGGAGTTGCTATGTTGTGTTTCGGTAGTGGTAGTAGGTCGGTGTGTGTTTCGTCGCATGAAGTCGTCGTTGTAGTTGTTCTTTGAAAAAACAGGGCAAGGGTATTTGTTCTCGTCGGATAAGCTGTCTGTTGTGTTGCATACTAGTTGCGCGCGTCGAGTAAGAGTTCTGATAGTTGTGGCTTTGTGTGATGTAGGGCTGTAGGATGACTCGATAGTAATCTGTGTGTCGGTTTCCTGTAAACTGTGGTCCGTAGTAAGTTGTCGTCACAGCTTACTAGACAGTCTAGAAAGCCTTGACGAGAACTCAATACCGACGACAGTTTACAGGAAACCGACACACACCGACTCGGGATGGGAATGGTGATACATGTACATGAAACTCAGTGCAATACAACGAATTGGTCTTACCCCAGCCTACTGCCACGCGTGGTTTTAAAATAAGCACAAGGAAAAAGACTTCCCCAAGGAGAAAAAACTATTTACAATCGTCAAGGCTCACTGTTTGTTTTGGTTTCAAAATACTAACAAACCTTACCAAATCTTACCAAATTGACATACAACAAATTACTGGGCTTAGACGTTAGAAAACTTTCATACAAACCACAGATTGGACTTAAATATATCACTAATCAGGACTTCTCATTCAATCTTTCTACAAATTGGTGATGATAAGGCAAAGTTGCGCTCCATCTCCACAAAGAAATACCAAATACTGCCAAATACTGATTAAAAATCAAAATTCTTTTCTTCGCTGATCCAAGATAACACAGAGACATATTTCCAGCTTCAATTTGGTGGACCAGCCTATTGTAAATGTTCTTAGGTACTAATGTTCACTCGGAAAAATCATGCCTCTTGAGTTCAGCTAAAGTTTGTTGCTAAATCCATCACAGATTGGTCAGTTTTGAAACTTATCAAAATCCCCACATCCAGCAATACATGAGCTATGATCTTACTGTGATGTGATTTGCTGACAACATCACAGAAATATAATACGGAAAATAAGCCATGGAATTCCTTCTTCGATTTCATGTCAATTCTTTCGTCCTTCATCATGTGGTTTTTACGGCTCCCTGAGTCTCGTAATCTTTGATGAAAGGGCGACCGGATCGTTTTGTTTTATTTGCCAGTGGTAACGACCGGCTACCGCCAACACGTTTTGCCGATAGCTCGGTTGGCTTTTGTCTAAAATAACAGTAAACATGACGAAATCTACCATTCAGTCCCTTAAAAAGGAAAATGAGGACCTGAAGAGTAAACTTGAGACCCTAACTAACGATTTCAAAGAGCTGAAAGAGCTGAAAGAGCTATTAATGAAGAAAGAATCAACGGAAAGAACAACACTAGATGGCGGTTCTTCGTCACCGAACCATGAGCTGGAAAACAGCGTACAGTTTCTTAGTGATGAATACGGTGACTTACAGAATTCTCACTCCGCTGCTCAGTGTAAACTAGCTAGATTTGGCAAAGATTTGTCGGATATTTCAGCCACAGTTAAGGAGACATCCAACACTGTGGAAGCGCTACAGCAGTACCGTGAGCTACCAATACAACTTAAAAATCATTGGCTACCCACAAGTTAACGAGTTCGAATCATCGGAAGACACAGCAAAACTATGTCTTCATTTATTCTCTCGTCTTGGCGTTGACGGAATCACACTTAATGACATTGACACTGCTCATCGCGTTCCGATAAGAGCGAGTGCAGCGATAAAGAAACCAAAACCTATCATATGCAAGTTCACCGGGCGCTTAGCCAAGGATAAAGTAGTGGCTGCCAGGAGAGCATCCATTAACATTAGCTCCCAGGATCTTGGCCTACCAAATGGCATTTCTTTTGAGCGTATTAGAATCTATCATCATTTAACACCAAAGCAGCAAGAGCTACTTTATACTGCCAACAACTTCAAAACCCAACATGGTTATAAACTCTGCTGGATAAAGAATGGAGTTGTTTTCCTCCGCAAGAGTGAAACGTCAAGACCAATTAAAATTAAAACGATGGATGACTTGATAATACTAACACCACAGAGCCATGGATCGTCACACCAAACCAATTAGTAACTGAACCTTGTCCTCTTCATGGCTTTATTTTTCTGAGGAGTGTGAGCGCTTGAAGCATTTATTCTCACGTTTGGACTACCCTCACCACCTTATCAACTCCGCCATTAACACCTTTGTCAACTCGAGAGTTGCTGACCAGCAGCCATTGCAGGCGTTGGAAAGATTGGCGAAAAATGATGTAACCCGAGTAGTCATACCCATCGAGGACCAAGACTCCGCTAACATTGTTAAGAAGCAGTTGAAAGACCTTAGCATTAAGCTCCAAACCACAATCCAGCCCGTATTTGTCAGTTGGAAAATTGGCCAAGACCTTAAAGAATATGAGACCAAACCACAGCTGGTTAATCAACAGTGCGTAGTGTACCAATTTAAATGTAATCTGTGTGATACAGGGAGCTATGTTGGTTACACACGCGGGCATTTATATCTTATAGGAATGGTTCTAGCGGGTAATGTGACGTCAAATCTAGAACACGAAAGTCTGCATTTCACACATTTTCACTTGTTTGGGAAAGTTGTCGTCGATATTGTCCGAAATGTGCCGACTAGGTGTGTTGTATGAGGAATGTATGAAGCGCGATACCCTATTGCAAATTTCGCACGTTGCCACATCCTCCTACAGCACACCGATTAAAGTCTGCCTTATGTCTATTGACTGGTTACCTCCTTGCATTGCGAAAAGAAAATTTTACCAGTGACACAATTCGAGGTAAAGTACAGGAAATTTTTCGGTAATAGCAGATAGTACGGGCCTACTTGGCGAGAGAAACCCTATACTGTTGTCCCGCTCCTAACTTCGAAGCATGGAAACTAGTTAGCGGCGCAAAGGTTGCTGGGAGAATTAAAATGGCGGAAACTATAGAGCCAGTTATCAATTTAGAGAATTTCGTCGTGACTCGTTAGTTTCTGGACAGTTGTAAGGTAACAGTGAATGCTTTTAAACCTGTAATACTGCCACCAGGCTAAAAATAAAACTGGAATGCTTGGAAGGCCCTGCTGATCCGATCAACAGTGGATAAAGACCTTAGCATATGGTTCTTAGTACGGTACTGGAGTGTTTTGTCTAACTGAGGCAGGAGAACAACAAATTAGGGGGTAATTTTCTGAAAGAACAATGGAAGCCTATACGCGAACGATACTTGTGATTATTACGCGAACAAAGAGGTTTGAGGACGTTTAGGGTTTCCGTCACGCGCCAAAAACCTCACACCGCTGATCATGAATTTGTTTTGTTTTGTCATAGTTAGTAGAGGGGTCCCCCTCTACTAACTATGGGGAAATTAACTCGGTAGAGCTACTTGGCAGCAGAACGGAAACTCGTCACGACTTCCCGGTACACGGTGATCTACTTCGAGCGAGCTTGTACGGTCGTCAAGGATGAGACAGCGCTTTGGTTCCACAGTAAACTTTTATTCCAGGTCAGGCGAACAACTGACATGACCGTCAGCGTACTTAAGTTTGTAATCTAGGATGTAATCAACAAAGCTTGCCTAAGAACGTGTCCACGTGAGATCCAAGCAATATCAAAATTTGAGTCTACATGGTACCCTCCAGAATTTGATACCATTTTTTGTACGTACTGGTATTACTCTAAGTTAAAAGCCTGCCAAATATTTTCCCCGAAGTCCGAACAGTTCACGATATACA